TCCTTGTCTCCAACTCGGTCTCCCTTCTTTCTCTCTTCCCTCCTTCATCGCTCTCTCCTTCCCTTCCTCTCTTCTTCATCTTCTTTTCATCTCCAGATTGTCTCATCCTTGTGACCAAGCATCACCCAGGTACCACCCAAGTATAGTGCCATATCGGCGATGTGGCTGTTTTTTGCGTGCAGATTGGATAATACAGTTGACTCATTCGCTGTCATTCATGATATCAACACATTTGGGAATGGCTCAGGCCAGAAACCAGCTGGAGAAGCCAGGCTACTCCCAGGATGGGAATCTCTTCCTCGTTATTTTACTCATGGTGAGAGGCAATGGAGAGATTTTGCTGCCTCTTGACGCAGGGTGTAACGGGGAAGCAATTCCCCTTGAGGTCTGTGGGTGTTTCCACCTCTGTGCCTTCACTCTGAGAGCCCCTTCCCTCTGGAATGTCCCCAGTTTGACCCAGCCTGTCTCCCCTCTTCCGCCCAGTTCCCCTCGCTTTCAGACAGAAGCTGTGCATTGGCAGAACCCCCTTGTAACGACTCCCCCAGTGCATCCCAGTTCTTCGTTTGCAAGTTAGTCTACACCTAGAGACAAGGGAGCATCTCGGAGGCGGGGCTGCACCCAGCCCATCATCGCATCCCGAGCGTTGGCACACAGCGCGTGTTGACAGTGTGGCAGGAAGCGGCCTCCCTGTTGTTGGCGCCTTCACAGCGTTCTTGATCCGTAGCCTGCACCGCTACGGTGCTGGCGTCTCTCCCTCGTATTATGAACTGTGCCTTTCTGCGTATGCCCTGTGGCCCACCCCCAAAACACAGTTGGGACAGAGGTCTCCAGCCCTGCACAGAGGGTCTTGCAACCACTAGATGATCCACCGGGTTGAGCCAAATGAAAATGCCGCTGTTTGATAGCTTTTAACCTGCAAAATACTATGTCTTTTGACAAGGAGACAAGGTTTTCATTGCTCAGGCTGTCCTGATGTGATCAGTGGCCAAGTCCCCAGGCCTTCTTCCCTGCCTGCTGCTACCTTCCTCCCAGGGCAGGCAGCTCTTCCCTCCTCCCTCCTGGCATGGCCTCCTTTCAGGTATAAGAAAACTATTTTTCAAATGTCAAACCTGATGTCAGTTTATTGATTTGCGTTGAGAGATAGAACTGCCAGCTAACCAGCTACCTCTCCCTCGTGACTGGGAAAATCTCCCTCTGAGGACAGCTTGGCTTCTCAGAGTTGTTTGGTGAGCAGAAGACGTAGATGATCTCAAAAGGGAGTGTGCTCAGATGCGGGAGCCCGGGCGGGGCGGGGCCAGCCCGAGGCGGATGGGCCGCAGCCAGGCCAAGCACCTTCTCCAGCAGCCACGGCAGAAGAGGCGGTTTCCTCTGTAGGACAGAACGCGCCCTGAGAAGGCAGTGAGAACTGATGGGGAATATGCTCAGACAGTCGCAGGCGCGGGATCCCCGCTGGGAGCAGTTTGCTCCAGCCCACCAGGGAAGCCAGTGGTGTTGATTCGGGTGATTTCCGACCCCTCAAATAACCTGTGAGGACTGTGGCTAAGAGAAGGAGGAATCACCTCTCAGAATAGATTGTCTTTTCCTCCCTCCCTCCCTTTTTTCTCCTTGGATTCTCTCTGTATTTCTTTTTTCTTTCTTTTTTGAATTATAGTTTATTTTCAGTAAAATGCACTTATTTTAAGTGCACAGTTCAGTACATTTTGACAAATATATACACTCATGTAACTATGAGTCCATCACCCCAGAAAGTTCCCTTGTGCCTTTTCCTCTCAGGCCCCTCCCCACATGTCTGTCAACTGAACTGATGAATAGATGGATAATCACAATATAGTCCATCCCAACAGCAGAATATTATTCAGCCCTAAAACGAAAGGAAATACTGACATGTGATGACATGGATGAACATTGAAAACATGCTAAGTGAAAGAAGCCAGACACAAAAGACCTCATGTTGTACAATTCCATTTCTATGAAGCGTCCAGAATAGGCTAATCCATAGAGACAGAGAGTGGATTAGTGGTTGTCAGGGGCTGGCGGGGAGAGTGCTAATGAGTATCGGGTTTTTTCTGGACTTAGATAGTGATGATAGTTGCATCCCCATCCTCGGGGTGACCAGAGTTCTGTTTTTTTCCAACATGGAGTGTTTGTGCCTGTCCTGGAACTTGTAATTGGAGTCATGTATTGGGTACTCATTTGTGTAAGACTTCTTTCACTCACTGTAATGTTTTTGAGATTTGCCCATGTTATGGTGACTGTGGTTTCTGTTTTTTGTGTTTTTTTGTTTTTGCTGGGTAGTATGACTTTGCTATGGTTTCTCTATCTACTTTCTTTTTTTTGTTTGTTTTTGGTGAGGAAGATTGGCCCTGAGCTAACATCTCTTGCTGATCTTTCTCTTTTTGTTTGAAGAAGATTGTTGCTGAGCTAACATCTGTGCTAATCTGCCTGTTTTATGTGGGATGCTGCCACAGCGTGGCTTGATGAGTGGTGCTAGGTCCATGACAAGCAGTGTGTAGGTCCATGCCTGGGATCTGAACCTGTGAACCCCAGGCCGCCGAAGATGGAGCGTGCAAACTTAACCACTATGCCACTGGGCCAGTCCCTTTATCTACTTTCTCATAGATGTTGTGACTATTATGAATAAAACTGCTATGAATATTCTTGTACAAGTCTTTTTGTGGACATGCGTTTACCTTTCTCTTTGGTAAATACCTAGAAATGGAATTGCAGAGTCACACAGTTTTATAAGAAACCGATAGAACTTCTTCCAAAGTGATTTTACCCTTTTCCACTCTCATCAACAGTGCTGGGAGTTTTGGTTGTTCCACAACCTTCCCAACATTTGGTGTTGTCAGTCTGTTTCATTGTAGCCGTTCAGTTTGGTATGTTGGAAATTTAAGAATTTGATGAATTCCACTTTATTAATTTTTTTTATAGTAGTGCTTTTTGTGTTTTGCCTAAGAGATATTTGCTTACCTCAAGGTTATGAAGATATCTTCTGTGTTTTCTTTTAGGTGCTGTCTGGTTTTAGTTTTTTCTTTAGGTCTAGAATCCATTTCAATTTAATGTTTTGTTATGATGTAAGGAGTTGTGGCTTATTTTTTTCCTTTTGGATAGACAATTATTCCAGCCCATTTGTTGAAAAGAATTTTCTTTCTGCATTGAATTATCTTGGTATCTTTGTTGAAAATCAATTGTGTGTGTGTATATATATATAATTTATGTATATGTGTGTGTATATATATACACGTATATATATATATATATATATATATATATATATGTAAGTCTCTTTCTGGATTCTATCTTGTGGAACACAAAACCATTGATCTATTTGTGTATCCTAATGCTAATACCAAACTGTCTTGATTACTGTTTATAGTAAGTCTTAAAGTCAGCTAGTGTAAGTCCTTCAAATTTGTCCTTTATTAAGATTATTTTGGCTCTTCTAGTTCTTTTTAACTTCCGCTTAAATTTTAGAATCTGTTTGTTGCCAATTCCTAAAAAAAAAGCCTTCTGAAATTTTGATTGGGATGACCCTGAATCTACAGATCAGTTTGGGGAGAATTGACATCTTAACAATATTGAATTTTCTAATCGATGAACATGGTACATCTCTTCATTTCTTTAGGTCTTGAATTCTTCTCAACAGTGTTTTGTAGTCTTCAGTGTAGAAGTCTTGCACACCTTTCATTAAATTTATTCCTAAGTAGCATTTTTATTTTTATTTTTTATTTATTTTTTTAAAAGATTTTATTTTTTTCCTTTTTCTCCCCAAAGCCCCCCAGTACATAGTTGTATATTCTTCATTGTGGGTCCTTCTAGTTGTGGCATGTGGGACGCTGCCTCAGCGTGGTTTGATGAGCAGTGCCATGTCCGCGCCCAGGATTCGAACCAACGAAACACCGGGCCGCCTGCAGCGGAGTGCGCGAACTTAACCACTCGGCCACGGGGCCAGCCCCAGTAGCATTTTTATTTTAATGGAGGAGCCTGGAAGCCACAGAGGGGTGAAGGTGAAGTGGTAGATGGACAGATGATAGGGCTGATGTTTGGGGTCGGGCCCCTATTCAGCATCCCAAATAATCAGCAACAAAAAGCAAGTGGTCAGTCACACAGGGTGGTTCTCACTGAGTCCCCTCCATCTGGATATCAGAATCAAGCAATTCTCTCTCTGGGGACTCGGTAGCCAAGATGTCTGTGTTTGCTCATTCCCTCTGTACCCTGAAATGACCACCTTCTTAGTTCTCCCTTCTGAACACTGGGTGGACTACGAGGGTCAGGCACAGGCCGGTCCTGCTCACTGTCCTCTCCTGAGGGAAAGTGTGATGGCTTCAGCTCCTGATGAGCCTCCTCAGGATGTTCCCTGAGCAGTGGTGGCCAGTGACCCCTTGGGCGGGGGGGTGCCTGGCTTGGAGAGCTGTGCCTTAGTGAGCTCAGAAATGTAGTAGAATCAACTTGCTAGGGGAGGGTTGGAGAAGAAAAAGAGAGATGGCTGAGAAGAAGCAGAACATGAGGGGAGCTGAATGACTTCAGTGGCAAAGCCCTGGAGAAGGGGCTCACGAAGGCCTACTGCCTAGGGGTCTACCAGATGGCCTGTTTCCTAGAGCTGCCTTGGATTTCCAATGACCTTCCAGTTCCAGTGCCTGCAAGGCCTCCCTCTCCTGGCATTCTTGCTCTTCTCAGGAGGCTCAGGTGTTTGATTTTTTCCAAGAGTCCTGTGAGGGCTGGCTTGGTGGCTAAGGTTCCTCTGTTCCTTATTTCCCCAAGAATCCTAATAGTGTTGCCTGCCCAGTGGCATGAACTAACTTGAGGGAATTGCTGCTTCTTGCATCCAGGAGTGCCCAGCTAACACATCTGAGACTCCTATTGGGTCTGTTTTGTTACCTCAATTTGGAGCCTTTTGCTTTTCCCTCATTTACTAGGTTGTGTCAGAGTGTGTGTATGTGTGTGTACACAAATAACTGGGGCTCTACACTTTATTTTTGCTGTTTTGTCATACATAGGCAGTGTCTTATTGGTATTTGGAGTGGGCCCTTCGGAAGCATCCTGGACAGTGCGGGAGTCGCAAAGTCGTGCCATGAGGAAGACTTGAGAGAACTAGCATTCTCAGGAGAGAGGTCTGGGGGCTTGCAAGACTGCCATGAAGAAGCACACTTGCTCCCAGTGTCACGTGGGACGGGGAAGAAGCCACAGGGAAAATATTCTGGCTTAGTGTAAAGAGCTTTATGGGAGCTGTATGACCATGGAACTGCCTTCTTTGCCTGGTTGTGATTTCCGTATCCCTGGAATATACAAGCAGAAGCTGTCAGACTCCTGCACTGTACCTTCAAGATCTGTTTGATTCTGTTCCTAACACTTTACTGGGAGTTGATTAATGTTCTCCTCCCAAGAAGACTTCTCTTGGGGGAAGGCACCCGAAGGAAGACATTTTTGAAGGTGAAATCTCAGGAACAGTGACATGAGTGTGGGGAGGTGTTTTTGGCTGTTGCCCCTCAAATGATACCGTAGCTGGTAAACAAGACCAGCCATGATCCATTCTACCACATGGAAATGCCTTTCCCATCAATATCTGCAGCAGTCATTTTTTTGGTCAAAGTGAGCTCTCCCAAACCAGTTGGGTTAGGCCTCCTGCTTCTTTGCAGCCTCTCTCCATGAGAAAGTGCCAGAAGGTGTGGCATCAGGACTGGAGGAGAGAGAGTGGGATGTGGCTGCAGGAGACGCCTACTCAGGCACTTCATGGAGAGCACACTTCTCTCAGCTGGAAGCCAACTTTTCTTTCTTCTTGTGACTCAACCATCATTTATTAGAAAAGCTGCCTGAGCATTCTTTGCTTCAGTCAGAAGCTCTGCTCATGCTTCAGCTCTTGGTGCTGTCGGAATTTGCCCCTTTCTCATTTAAGATCTCATAGGAGACTTGTCCCTTCTAGATGGTCCTCTTTGGGGGACCCCTGACCTCCTTCATGGTTTCTCTGGGGTGGAGGATGATACCCTTTCTTGTGCTTTCAGCTGGTCCCACCACTGATGTATCTTTCGAAGATGCATGTCTGGGGCTTGAGTGGGGGAGCAGCGCGGTGGCTGGAGACGAGGGACGCATCACTCCCCATCACGGAATGAGAGGCATTACGGGCCAAAGAAGAGAGCTCTGAGGTTGTACAAGCCTGGATTTGTTTGCCAGTTCTGACACTAATTAGCTGTGTGACTCTGGGTGGTTTATTAACTCATCTGAGCCTCAGTTTCCACATCTGTAAACATGAGGTGACGGTATCTCTTGTACTTGGTTGTTGAGATTATTCAGTGAGATACCGTGTGTGAAAGCACCTAGCATGGTATGTGGCTTTGACTAGGAGCTCAATGAATACCACCTCCCTTACTTCACTTCCTGGAACTCTGGTCTTTATTCCATCTAAGGCCTTCTTGGCAGCCACCCAGCAGGCACGCTGGTGGGCATCTTATTGGATGGAAAGTCTTGGTGCCTTTTAGAGCTTCCAGAAAGATCCATGGACAGAGTAAGTGGCCACTTTATGCTATTCCAGAGCATGACCTGAGGAGTGGATACTGGACTCCATCTGTCACTTGTTTACTCACTACCTCAGTGTGGCCTGAAATTCTTCCCATTAGTCATTTCCATTTTAATTTTCTTCTGGAATCAATAGATTCACCGGGAAAACAGTCTATCATCTATAGGCTGGAGTGTAGAAAGCCATTGTCAAGGGTGGAGAGGAAGGCCAGGGGTGTTGGCTGTCTCTCATCCAGCAGCACATTGGACCCTTTAAGAATGAAATTAGTTGACTGACACCTTGGAGCAGAGACTCTGTCACTTACCTCTTTTTTGCTGGAGCCCTGCCTACAACAGGAGATTATCAACACTTTTTGTTGATCCAGTGAATGTCTTTTAAAAATTATGTGATTCTGATACATGCTACAACATGGATAAAACTTGAGGACATTATGCTAAGTGAAATAAGCCAGTCACAAAGAGACACATACTGCATGATTCCACTTATATGAGGCACCTAGAGTAGACAACTCACAGAGACAGAAAGCAGAAGGGTGGCTGCCAGGGGCTGGGGAGGCGGAATGAAGAGCTGTTGAATGGGGACAGAGTTTCAATTTTGCAAGATGAAAAAGTTCTGGAGAGGATAGTGGTGATGGCTGCGCAACATTGTGAAGGTACTTGATGCCACTGAATTGTGCGCTTAAAAATGGTAAATTTTGTTATGTATATTTTACCACAATAAAAAAATTGTGTGTGTGCAATCTAACCAGCGTCCCGAATTTTTAAAATTGTGATATAATCAGTTAGTTCTCAGAGATGATACTGTGCATCAACATTGTCAGATGTAAAAATATTGTTGGATTTGTTCACTTATTCAACAAACAGTCCTCGGCTGCCGGCTCCATCCACGCCCCTGAGCCAAACTTGAAGATACAGAGATGCATTCCCGGGCTTACTCTGCAGAGCGAAGTTCTGAGACAAAGGATGAAGACCCGGCCCATGAACCTCTGAGTCAACAAGCGAAGCCTGCAGTCCGGCAGAGGAGACCGAGGAAGAACGATGAGTTCCCCTGTTGTGTGAGGCAGGATTCGGAGGCAGGCAGGGGCTCAGCTGGAGCCTGCTGTGGGAGGAGGAACTCAAAAGAAGGAGGGAAAGGACACTGTGCTGGTCTCCCTACAGCCAGCTCTGCATATAGATGTGGAGTTGTGACATTGGCAGGTGAGTTTGAGAAATGGCAGGAAGCCCAGTGGGGCTGAGGTGGGGCTCTCAGTGACTGGTAAAAATGAGGTGGAAGGAGCACATCACAGTGACTTCAGAGTCCTCAAATCTGGTGCCAGCCTCACCTCAGTCTCCTGTCAGCTGGTGCCCTTGGCTAAGTTAAAAAAAATCTCTGTGAATTTCATCAAGAAAATACTTCTTCCCGAATCGACAGGATTAAATGAGAACACGTGTGAAGAGTGTTTAACTGAGATGTATCTATACCGTCTGTATCTATATCTATAGATCTACATCCACATCTGTATCTATGGATCGATCATCTACGTCTGTACACACACGCACAAAGGATGGGTCGGGGTGGGAGGACGCTGAGGGTCTGGAAATAAGCCTTGATTGTTTATAGGTTTCACTTCTCTGTGTTTCAACCTGAGCGTTTTGGCTCTGGGGAGTGGTGAGAACATCCTGGGTGTGACGGGTGCCCCAGGTCTCCCCAGCCCAGCCTCTTTGTCAGAGTATGGCTGGGAGTGTGGGACCCAGGGTGAAGATCTGGGTGGAGCCTGGGGGGTGTCGACAAGGGTGGGTGTCGAGGCTATGAGAGCCTAAGGCTGGCTCCTTCATTAGTTACTTTGTTGGGGTTCAGGTCAGGAGCGCCGTCCCTTGGGTGGGCCTGTTTGCTTTGTCGCCATGGGGACCACACTGTCTCAGTGCAGACCCATCCATCCTACTTCCTGGAGAAACAGTTTGGGAGGCAGTAGGGTCATTTTCATCAATGAAAGAGGATGCACTCACACACCCACGTGGGCAGCAAGTGTGCATGACTTAGACGTGGCGGAGCTGGAAGAAATGATGTGTCCAAGAATGGACAGTGGAGGGAAGGGAAGGGAGGGAACACAAGGCTGTATGAGCCATTGATAACTCAGCTTGAGTCAGTTTAGCAGATTGTCCCTAGTTGCCTATCAGGACTGCGGGCAGGCTGCATAGGAGTAGCCACTGGGACCTTGGGTGGAGGGGAGAAAGTCTACACAGAAAGAGGAAGGGAGGGCCTTTGGATTCTGTACGCATGGACTGGCAGTCTGCTAATAATTATAACAACATTTATTGAGTGATTACTCAGGAGCTGCACAAACTTTTCTATATCTCTCCATCTTTATGGGGGTTGTTTTGGATGGGAAAAAATTACATCTTTATTTTTATTAACTCCTAACAGATATTTAGCATTTCCTCCGATTATGAGTATAGGCAGCAGACCACAATTGTATTGTCAGGGCTGTGAATTTGTCATCCTGGAAATCACAGATATTGAACCAAAAAGGACTGTCGCTGCAAATCGATGGAAGATCTAGGCTCTTTTCTCTACTTTGGTATTGCCAGCTATCTGGATACAAATGGCTTTTTTTTCCGTTTGCTTTGTGAGCCATGTCAGCATAACCACTGGGGGAACATGCCTGGAATGCTGCCAAAGAAGAGGCGATATGACAGAATTTTCAGGTTATCATTGGTGGAAATTTCCACAGATATGTCTTTGGGCTAAGAGGTCAGTTTACTGGACTTGGATGGAAATCTGAAAAGGGTTCTGATTAACGAGTCAGTCTCATTTACTTTTTTGTTTGTTCTATTTTTTTCCTCTTCATTTGCTCTTGTTGTTGAGATATGATTCACATCCCACGAAATTCATGCTTTTAAGGTGTACAATTTGTTGGGTTTTTGTATGTTCATAAAGTTGTACACCCATCGCCACTATTCTAGAACATTTTCGTCACCCGAATGAGAAATGCCCACTCCTTAGCATGAACTCCTCACCCCACCCTCATCCCTGGCCTGGCAACCGCTAATCTACTTTTTGGTTTATGATGTTTTGTAATTTTCATGGTGTAAGTCTTACACTTCTTTTGTTTTATTGATTTACTTTTAAGGAAAGTATTTGCCAAAGGACCTTTTCTAGTGAGGAACATTGATACTGACAACCTTCTTTGTTTTAACACTAATATTGTAATTTTCATCACCCAAAATGTATGAGGATTCTCAAATTACTCATAGTTCCCATGATTAACATTTTTCATCCAATCCTGAAATTTTAATTTCACTTCAGCAATCTTGTCCAATGAAGTAAGGCCATATGCCAGGGCCGTATCCCGTAGCCGTGCTCTCCAGGGACCAGAGTTAACATAAATTTAGACAGGGTATCAGTTTGGAATGTCTATGGATGCAAGTAACAGAAAATCCTACTTTGGAGGCTGATGACAATAAAGAATTGTATTTTCCTATGTAGCACAAAGTTCACGGGGAGACACTCTGGGACTGGATCATCAGGAACCCAGGCTCCTTCTGTTTTTCTGTTCTTCTATCCTTAGCATAGACCTTCTTTCTCAAGCCTCTTGTCTCATGGTTGCAATATAGCTGCTGCACCTCCAGGCTTCACAATTATGTTTCGGGCAGGAAGAAGGAGGAAGGATGAAAGGATGAAGGGCTTTCCCTTGGTAAGTCCTTACCTCTTACTTAGGAAGAGAAGCCCCCACTTCCACTCTCAGGGCTGGGGAAAGCCAACCAACAGTGTCTGCTTTATATTAACTACTATCTTACGTAATCCCTGTTTTAGTCATCTGAGGTAGGTGATCTTTTCTCTGCTTTATGGATGTGGACACTTAGTCTTAAAGAACTTCTGTAACTTGCCCAAGGTCCCACTGTCAGTGGCAAAGCTAAGATTAACAATAATAGCATATTACATTTTCCTGGTCTGTTTCATCGTTGTATACAAAGCTTTTTCTCATTCATTTTTTCATTTGGGTCTCACAAAACTCTGTGAGATGGGCAAGGTGGGTCTTAGAATATCTTCATTCTACAGAAGAGGACTTGGAGACCCAGAGAGGTAAATAATGACTTGCCTGAGGCACTCACTTGGCGACTTTCTGAGCTGGGCTTTAATCTCAGCTCTAGTGTCCTACCTTCTGGACCCCACTGGCTGGGTGTGGTCAAGGAGCCATCGATTCACTGAGGGAGACAGACACACAGAAAGAAATGGTGCGAACTGACTTCTTATGCTTCGGTTTTGCATAGGCCCAGATTTTTGGGGCCTTTCTGCCGTTTCCCTCACAGGGGTGGAAGAGTGTGTCTGGGACCAGGAGGTGATGCGTCACCACTTGGTCTTGGAATGGAGCAGGCACACAGAGGAGGTCTGTGTCACCTCCCTACAGACTGGTTTCCCTCCCTCTGTGTGTGTGTGTGTTTCCAGCCTCGTTTCCAGGCAGGTGTCTGCTGCCTGAAGGGGAGTTTTCTAGACCAAAAAGTCAGCTTTATCTCAAGTGTCATCTTCCTCTCCTTGAACACAGGTAACACAAAGGAGCGGATGTTTCTTGACAACCCAGTCTGATTATATGGTAAAAGGAAAGAAAAGAAAACCAAGTCCAAGTGAGTTTTCTGTTGGCCTTGCCAGACTTAAATATGGTTAAAAAACAAACAAACAGCTCATTCTTTTTTTAAAAGCCCGTGTGTATCGTGATGAATGTGACTCTGAGCTCTGGCCTCTTTGCCTGGGTCGTGGGTCTTTAAGGAACATCTGTAAGTAGTTTATAGCGGAACAGATGTGAAGGCTCCAACTACAGCGAATAGATGAGCCCATCTTAAAATAAAAGGCTGGTATGTTGATGTTGTGTTAAGTAAGGAAATGTTGATAATGACACAGGGAGCAGATTGGTTTCATGATGAGGCCTTAACTCAGTTCCTAGTATCGAGGCACATGGTAAATACTGAATGAACTATTCACTGCCTAACTCTGGGAGTCAAGCCAACTTAATGAATTGATCACTGGACTTTTGACACCACAATCAGATGAACAATTTAAAAGTATCCTGGTTATTCCATGACTCAAAACAATATTTTAAAATAAACCATTGTTAAAGTAGTGTTGCAAATTAGGGGATGAAAGCTCGAATTTAATCTGCCCTCATCAAGGAAACCTCATGTTGTAATCATTTCTTTCCCTCTTTTACCAGTGGTCTGAAATGTGAACAGCGTTTGCTGCTGACATAAGCCAGCAGGCTGCCCACTGAGTCGCGGTCAGCTTTTGATCAACGCCAATCAAGGCAGTTAATTACACAGATGCGCGATGTGACGTGCCCGGCAGATCACTGCTGGATGTGAATTGAGAGGGAGAGTTTTTAAGTGTTCATAGCCACTCACTTCTTGGGTACAGCAGAAGCAATCAGGATAGAGTCCCCCTTTTTGGGGATGTCCTCTCCATCCTTCCATCTGTCCAGATGCTCAGGCTACTAACCTCGGAGTCA